AATGTTAACTTTACATTCCAAAGATAAAGTTTTTCTTTTCTTGTTTGATGCAGAAGAATTAGTTCTACTTCGTTTGGATGACATAGTAGAGTCTCTCGAGTCTCAGTAGATATAACAAACACAGAAATAAATAACACAAAATAAATTGTAGTTATATGTCGATTCCGCGCGACACGTGTCGGAACATGTAAGCCAAACAATAGTGTGGGGGGAGTGAGTAATCAAGAGTTGCGTGACGCGCTCAAACAAAAGACGAATCAACGAGATTTGAAAATCGTGTAACTCCGGGTTTGCGTAAGTCGAGGTATTACTGTATACAATAGCAATCTTTGTTTTTCACATGAAGTATAGAAATTTGTAATAAGATACATAATGTGGTTATAATAAAATATTAATTTTAAGTAACTCAAAGTGTGTTAAAATATAAAAATAACTGCACAATATGTATTTATATTTTAGAAAATACAAGGGATGCAGCACTTTCACAGCTTTCATGGATGGCACACCACTGCTTGTCAGTGATAGTTCCAGTTGAGATATGTTTAACAACAGTGTCATGATAACACTGTCAGTGTCACTGTTGTTAAACATATGGTCTTCTGTCAGGGCTTAATGACAGGTAATCAGCATTTGTATGTTCAATCGACTTCCTATGTTTGATGGTATAATCAAAGTTGAAAAGGAAGTGCACGTATCTTAGCATTCTTGTAGTTGTCAAAACAGGTAGCTTCTTGTCAGAGTGTAGTATCGTCATCATGTGTTTATTGTTGACTATAAGAATAAATTTCCTTCCATAGATATAATCAAAAAATTTCTTACATAACCAGTACACAGAAGTACCTCTTTATCCAACTAACTATAGTTTCATTCGGCAAATGTGAGAGATCTGGAGGCAAATGCTATAGGTCATTCTGTTCCATTTGGCATTTGATATGACAATATTCCAGAGAGTCCAAATGGGCTGGCATCTGTTGCTAATGTTATTGGTAGTTTAGAGTTGAACAGGATTAGTACCCTATCACTGATAATCTCAGATTTTACACAAATGAAAGCTGCTTCCTCCTCTCTTGTCTAATGGAACCAAGCATTTTTCTTTAAGTGTTGATTCAATGGATATAAAATTTCTGATGCATTCTTGATGAATCTAGAATAGTAATCAACAAGTTCTAGGAATTGGTATAATTCTTCCACATTTCTCAGGTGAGGTGTCTCCTCTGGTCCGACTTTTTGGAGACCTTCTGCACTAATTATATGTCCTAAATATCATACTTTTCTTTCAAAGAATTTGCACTTACTGATGTTTATGTGTAAGTCATTAGCTCTCAACCTGTGTAAGACATTCAGTAAACGGTCCATGCATTATTTAAAAGTTTTTCTTTGAATTATGACGTTGTCAAAATAAGCGACCACTCCTTCAAGATTTTGGGTAAATTGGTTGATAAACTCATGGAACTCATTTGGTGCAGATTTAATTCCAAAAAATAATAGTTTTGCTAGATAGGTTCCACGATGTGTTGAGATTGTTTGTATTTTTGCACTGTCATCATCAACTGATAATGAAGATAAGCTATGTGGATATCTAACGTGAAAAAATAAGATTCATACTGTATTGAAAATATCTCCAATGAGTGGAATTGGGTGTCATGAGTTGTGCAACTGCTTGTTGACTGACCTTATAGTCAGCACAAATTTGTACTGTCCCATCAGTTTTGGGATAACGATTATGGTGTTTCTCACTCTGAATAATCCACTTTTTCAATTTATTTATTTTTACTGACTTTCTAATTTATTTATTTCCTTATCCACTTCTTCCTTCAATGCATAGGGAACTGGGCATGGTTTTAAGAACATTAGTTTGGCACCATCTCTCAGTTTTAATGAGCAAATATAATTAGGTATTGGGACAACTGTGGGGCAAATACATCTGAGTACTGCTCTACGGTTTTTGAAATGGATGTTTCTACTTCTGTTGACAAACTGTTGTTGACTTTAGTTGTATGGCTGAGTTCATTGATGTCAATCTTTAAACTTCAAATCCAATCTCTTCCTACTATTGCATTTTTTTTTTTTGGAAGGGAACGACATACAAGTCCTCTATACTGTAATTACCACCAAATTTAGTTTTTACTTTTGCTACTCCTAGGGATTTGAAAATATCTCCTGTGTAACTTCGAAAAGTCACTTCTGTTTTTGCTATGGGCGTTCAATTGTAAACGATTGAATTAGTTGACACTGATAATAGTGATGTGACTGCCGGTTTCACATTCAAAACAAATTTTTGTACAATTAACATAGATTTCTGTGAGGATTCTGTCATAGTTCCTGTTACATTAACAAATACATCTAGAACACTGATTATATCAAAGTCAATTACGCATTCATGGTTAATATTGTGGATGTTACAATTCCTGTTAATTGTTGATGTTTGTTTTCTTAGGGATGATATGCATACATTTCCTGTGTGGCTTTTTTTGCATCGTTCACATTTGAGCCAGTCTCTGACTCTACAATTTACTGATTTATGGTTGTTTTTCCCACAATGTAAGCATAGTCCTTCTAAATAAATTTCTACTGCAACTTTCTATTCTGTTTCTGTTTTAATTTGATGATTATATTTGAGGATGTGAGTGTAGTTTTGTTTGAGTATTTTTGGTAATTTTGTGAACAAGATGGTTACTTTTATATACAGTACTTCATTGCTTTCAATTTTGGAAGCTTCTATAGCTAATGCAATTTCTAGCATCTATTCGAAGGTTAGGTCAGTTTGTTGTAGAATTTTCTCACGGATGTCGGAATCTCGTAAACCACACATGAATTGCACTCTTAACAACAGATCTATGATGGATTTTATAGTCGGCACTGTTACAACTAGACTTGAAATCTGTGCTTTTGGAGAGTTATTTTAACGAAGTTATGTAATTTGAAATGGGCTCACCATTATGTTGTACTCTTGACAAAAATTTGTGCTGTTCTGTTAGGATATTTTGTTTTGGTGTTAGGTGATTTTGTAGTAACTACATTAACTCAGCAAAGGTTTGCCTAGAGGGTATTTCCAGTGCCGTTAGGTTGGTCAGTAGTTGGTAATGCTTCGGTCCAAGACAATTGATTAATATCATTACTTTAGCTTCTTCAGTAAATGGCATCTGTTCCAGTTAGTCCTTTGATTTAGAAAAAGTCACCCAGTCGTTGGGAATAGTTTACAAAGGTTTCGGAAGTTTCATCTCAAGTTTTGAAAGTTATGGCTTGCATTTGAACGACTCGTTGAACTGATAGTTCTGGTTTCATCTCCACCGACCGATTCTGTAGTTTCTTAATCAACACATTTAGAGTTGAAATTAATTCTGTAAGTTTGCTCATTTTTATATCCTCATTGCCAATTGTTATGTCCATAAAATAAATGACTCCTTATTAACACATATAATTAAACTTTATTATAATACAAAAGTAATTCTGTGCCTACTGGTCTAAGTGTCACCATAGCTAACACAAGACTACCCAGAGACAAAGGAACACGACAAAGGTCAAAGGTACGGGGTCACCTAACTAGATCAAGGGCAATTCGGCATGGGTTATCCCCCGGAGGATTATATACACGACAGATCCTAAGCACATTGATTTGATAGTAATGGCTTCTTGGATGTTGCACAATTTTTTAACAGCACTGTCATGTAGTTCTTACTCATCTTTGGATCATTTTGACTGTGAAAATATATGGTGGACGGAAATGAAATATTAGGCCCGAATAGTAATCATTTGAATATAGAACAACTAGACCCATTTTCCTATTTCTTTAAGTTTTCGAACTAATTTTGAATAACTCTCATCTTTTTTTACTTCATCATTATAGTCTTTAGACTTTTTTCATTTCTATATCTGTATCTATATATAAAAATGGATGTGTGTCCCCCTATATTTCACTTTTCAGCCAAAACTACACATTGCACATGAATGGTGTTTGTATGTGGTAGTAGCCCCGAGTCTCCATTCGTGCACTATGGTGGTTGCGTCTCGATAGCTATAAGGGTGCGGGAGATATGGGGCTGAAAGTGGAAGATTTTCTATTTTGATTTTAAAAATGTTTGAACCGTTTTAAATTCGAATTTGTTATTGCATATTGGTTCGATTATAGAACAATTGTAAACGTTCCAGAAACATTGAAAATAGTTCGTTTGACTGGATGTGAACAGGAGACGTTCAGAAATAGAATCGGGACCAGGTCTCTAATTAGTCTGGAAACGGGGGACCTAATTCTTGATTCTGTGAAAACGGGTAAGATTGGCTATAATGTAATTATCTTAATCTTCACTATCGTTACTTTTTGCCCACAAATAAAAACCCAGCGAAGCGGGTCCTTGCAGCTAGATTCTAGATTACTTAGAAAAAGTCTTTTATATATAAAAAAAACTATATTACATACAAATGTACGAACAAATAAGAACCCAGCGAAGCGGGTCCTTGCAGCTAGTATTTCTATAAATTCCTCCAAACATCCATGATGGCTATTTTGAAAATCAGCTGTCACATTTATATCAAACTATACTTATTGTTAATACAAAAAGATACAAAATAACTGAAAACATCAAGAAAAAGCTGAGTTCTGTCATTTGGGTATACCTGAACAGGTGTATACACAGGTCCATATTGAGATTAAAAGATAAAACAATTCTAGTATTTAGTGTGTTTTTAATGACTTCATAAGTGCATTATCTCAGTCTTAAAATATATAAAGAGATGTTTATACAATTAATAAAAATTTCTACCGGCGTTAAAACCGCTATCGATCGCCGAGGATTAATAACTTCCAATTAAACTCGACGCGCATTAATCGAGCCAAAAATAAGCTAGACTAAATATACCAATTGTGGGTATACCGGCGGCCATCTTGTCTAGTATCATATGCTGATAGCGGACTGCACTTCTCAGCTTCCGTTCGGCTCGACTGGCACAAGACGGATGAGCAATTGGGACAAGATGGTGAGTTTACCGACGAATAAAAACTCAAAACATACCTGTTTCCGCTTTAAACGGTCGTGTCCTCGACCTTAGAAGTGGGAGACGGAGTTACTTCCGCGTTCGTTCGTCTGCTTGCTTTATTATTATTATTATTTATATTTCGTCGTTTTAGATTAATTTATAATTTTTTTCTTTCGTCTTTGCTAATTTCGGTGAGTAATTTTTTGTTCCGTTTTTAAATAATTGATTTATTACGATTTATTTTTCTTCTTTAATTTTAAATATTGCGCACGCGTGTTCTGTTAAGCCAGTGTTTTTCAACCTGTGAGTCGCGACCCCCAGGGGGTCACAAAGCCTTACACGGGGGGGTCGCGGGTAAAAGAAAAAGACAAGTGTTTGGAGGTCCTACACTACGATAAAAAAGAAAAAACTACAATTTCAGTGAGAAGGCTATACCTGTTTATTTTACAGTATAATTGATTTTTCGATCGATATTTAGGTCTCAACAGAAAGAAAATTAAATACGTAGTTTTTAAAATCACCGATATAGTTTTAATATGTCCCTGGGTGGTCGCCAGAAGTTTTTAACTTGCAAAGCGGGCGCGTATTCAATTAGGTTGAAAAACATTATGTTAAGTAAACGAGATGGATCCATTTAATATACGTGTTGTTAGAAGATCGATCGAAAACAATATTCTAATATTGTACTATTGCGTTTGTTCTATGTAGATTATCTCGGAATATGAATACAAATAATTGTTTTAATTATATTTCTGAATGCAATATTTTTTCACCGTTTTCAAATAAGCATTGGATAGTTTATATATATTTGTCTTTAAATAATTTGTCGAAAGATCTATATGGATCTGAGAAATTCAAATGCTTGGAATAGGAGCTTGCATTAATTATAAATTACTATCGTAATGTGTGTAAAGAAAGTTATACTGCAATGACTGAAGTTTTCATAAATGCAAAATGATTTTTGTCTATTTGGATTCTTCTTTGTCTTGGCTTTTTCCCGTCTTTAATCTGTCTTCTCCACTTCTTTCTATTTGGGGTGTCCTCTCTCCCAAATCCTCTGCCGCCCCATCTCTCACTGTCTCGACTTTGGTTTTCTGTGCTTCCTCCTCCCTGTCGCTTCCAACCTCCCAATCCTCTGGATCTTCCCTTAAATTAATGGATATGTGTAGATGTTATACAAAAAATTGAAGATTGTCCAAAATTAAGTTCAGAAAAGATACAATAAAATAGGAATTATATAAAATAAAAGAATCGTTTCATAATTTTAAGATTAATAATAATAATTTATAATTGTTATAAAACAAATAAGTAAATGAAATATTTATTTCAATTTACTTACTTATTTGTTTCATAATTTGTGTTTGGGTCAGAACCATTAAGAGCTTGTACGAAGCCTGGGGATAGAGCACATGAAATATGTAGAATGTTTTTTTGTTAATAAAGAAACAATCTTGATTTTGTTTTCTGTTAATAAGAACAACATTAATTTTATAAAGATAGGAATCACTATGAGTTCCTAAATTTTCTTCTGGATGGAGAAAAATCTCCAGCTCCCTCCATTCACAACAGTCCTAGTTGGGATAAATATAAAGTACAAAGACAAATTCCAAAATTAATTAATTTATTTACTAATGGGAGTGGCATTTACTTATTGTATTATATGATATGTAATGCAATAAATTAAGTCATTGTCACTTATTTTGGATTGTGTATCTTATTTATGTACACACTAATTGTATAAATAAAAAATAGTTTATAATTTAACGAATACAAGCTATCTAATGGGAAAATCTTTGCAGAAATTGTTCATCTACTAAATAATTTATTATTATTAATATTTATTTATAAAATTTAATTGAATTAATTGCAACTGCCATATCTGTGCAATACATATTAAAAAATAGCTTTTGGTTTGGATTGAAATTTTTTAAGGATGTAGCAATACATTTAACATATATTGGTAATTACATTAAAAAAATTCTAATTCTAATAAATTTTAATACTATAAATATATGAATTAACACTATATTTAGAATTACTAAAATTACTTTTTTCAAAAACAAATTTCAAACAGAATTTGATATTAAAATCCTAAAGTCTTAACATCCACACAATATTTTGAGATACACAAAAATATCTTGAATTTTTTTCATTGATTTTATGTCAGTCTGTAATTGGCTACAATCTTAATTATCATCATTGTTATTGTGCCTTTAAAAGTTTTTAGAATACCAAAAAATTAAGTCATTGATACAATCCAATTGATAAAATTGAAAGCACATTAATTATTCAAGTTAATTAAATAATTAACTTTGAAAGTCTTGTACTAAAGTCATTTGTTTTATTCAAGTTAATTAAATAATTAACTTGAATAATTAATATCTTCTCAAATGTTTAGCTCTGTGTCTTGAATATTTTGTATTGATTTTATTTTAAAAATATAATAATAATAATATAGAGGAGAAGGTGGTATTATGGAACCCCAATTATATTTTAGTGAATTGTAAACAAGGTATCGTAACTACACCCACATTTTTTGTGCGAAAAGTACTGGTAACTAGTAAACTAAATGTTCCTAATTGGATTTTTCGCTAGTGTAATTATAAGTATGGTTTTTGAAGGCTTTTGTACAAAAAGTCCGAAAGTAGGCTTAGAGAAAATCGGGTGGTAATATGGAACCTTACTGTATATTTTCAAAAAAATGCTTTAATGTAGCCAAAAACAAATAGGAAAGGACAAAAAATGTTAAATAATTACCAAATTATTTACTCCAATGTATTTTATCGCAAAAATGCTTTTATAATAGAAAAATATGACCTCCATCAACAATATATATTCCAGCAGCTCTTTTTCGATATTCTCGGGAAGAATTGGCTTTCTACCTAGTGTCTTTTTCACAAATTGCTCTGAAGGAATGTCTGCTTGCAAATAGAAAGTTCGGAGGAGTTGAGTTCCATATTACTGTAAAAGCACCAATGGGGTCCGTATTTCACGCATCGCCATCTCGAATTAACTTATGTCTGTCAAGACCAAAATTTAAAAAATGTGAACATCACATAGATTAATATGTACCCCTAAGTCTCTGGAACGGAATACATGCACCAGTGAACCTACAACTACACGATTTATATTTTAAAAATAGTTAAATTTACTTAGCATTCAAAACTTGCAAATTTTGAAAAAAACAAATTTGCTGATTAAATGCGGACAACTGTTTAACTGAAGTAAAACGGGTTTTCACCTTGCTATGGATGTCTGCCTAGTTCAGTTCAGCCACATTCCGCTACAGTTCGCCTTTATTATCAGTTCGAAATGGGGTGAGTCCATAATACCCGCAGTGTTCCATAATACCACCTTCTCCTCTATTAAATAAAATAATAAACTACAGTAGACTCTCCCAAACCTTGCTTTCCCATATATGAAGTGATCAAAGGTGCAACCAAAAATTTTCAAAAATATTGTACACTACTCCAAATCTTACCTTTCCATACTTCAGTGTGTACATTTTTTTTTTATTAAGGTTGCTTTGAAGTTTGTAGAAGCATTCAATGCATCAACCACCGCTGATGGTGATGTTGCATTGGCATGATGTAACATGCTTGTCAGTCAGTGAATTTGAGAACAAAACAAATGACTTTAATACAGGACTTTCAAAATTAATTGTAACTGTCAAAAATAAGCATTAAAGTTAAATTAAATATTTTTTTTATGCATACAGTAGGCATATATATTACAGTCTTATTTAAAAATTATCACATTCCCTTATTTGGATTTTATCATCCTCCAGTCACTCCTGTCCACATTAGTTCAGATATGGGAGTCTATTGTATTCTTATTCTCACTAACTGTAGCAATTATTCAGTTCATTTTATGTAAAACTAAAAGAAATTCTCAAGTTTAGTGAGTGTTCTTTTTCCAAAAAAAAAAAAAAATTACTTTTGGTATGTATATGTATATGATGACTGAACATATAGAATTGTTTTCACTGAACAGCTGCCAGTATGGTGTACTGACACATTCCAGCTGAAAAACAACTCTCAGTTTAGTATATCCCAAATAATAAAATTTTTATGGCAAACAAAAAAGTGTTTTTGAAAGGTCCTGAAAAAGTTTTAAAAGAGTTATTGTATAGAATATTTAAATTTATTTAAAATCAGCAAAGGTACTTAAGAAATATACACCGAAGAAATCTACTTTCAGTAATGAACTATTGATTGTTTTGTTAAAGCCAGATTAAATCAAATTATTTAATCCAGCAACTATTTGGCTTTAATATAACTGTCAGGCTTAGAGATGTTTATATATGTTTTGTAGTTGTGTATTTTCTTTCATGTTAATAGCTTCTTTTAAAGAAAAATAACACAGAATTGTTTAAAATTATTGTGAAGGCCAATATCAAAATTATTCCAATATGGACCAATATACAGTTATTGAAAATGATTTGCATACTAATGACAAGCCGGTTGATCTGGACCTTTCTGAAACAGTGACTTTCCTTATTAGGAGTGTAGATAAATTCTTTTAGGCTCATGCTAAAAGAATACAGTCGACCCCCCTATAACACGGGTTCCTATAGTTTGGATTCCTATATCAAGGCGAAAAAATTGTGACAGTATTCGTACAAACATGCTAAAAAAACTCGTATAATTCGGTAAAATGTCATCTCTGACTCGTGTCGCGACAGGATTGGTCGAATCTAGACCATTAGCGGATATTGTACAAACCATTGAGTGTAAACGAGCAGTGGACCTACTAAAAACCGTTTATTATTTAATGTCCATAAAAATTATATTTATATTAATGATGTCTCCAAAGTTCAGCAAATTTTTTGCAAAAAAATAATTTATCAGGAAGCACGCGAGCACCATTCGATAACAAGCTTAAGCAATGGTGTAGTTGAATGGTGTACACTCAGTAAGTAATCCTACAGTTTTTTGTTTATAGCATAGTTTATATGGATTATTCCCAAAAAATTATACATATTTTGGAAATGTTGAGTCAAATTAGTCTAGAATCAATTAATTTTATGGAAGAAACCTTTCAAACAGCCGTAATCCGTAAACTGCATACATGCCAGGCTGTGATTGGCTGGACTCGTAGAAAATGGATTCATAAAAACCGGAACGTATCTACCGTGTTATGGGGGGGTCGACTGTATTTTAATCTTGTATTTTTCTTATGTAATTGGTGCAATATGCTTTTTAAAAATATTAAATTCAAAATACAGTAAGACCTCGCTTAACGCAGGGAATGCGCTCCTAGATGACAAAGTGTTAAACGAAACAGTGTTAAATGAGGCCATTGTAACATGGAGTAAATAGGGATAGGGAAACATGTGACCGAAAATAAAAAAAATTTACTTTAATTTTATATTATTATACAAATTAATATAAAAATAACTTATGTTAAATAACACATAAACATATGCACACAGAAATGTATAATAATATATTAATTAGTTCATTTTTTGTGGTGAAGGTCCTGACTTTTCTGAAATTCTAGTTTTTTTGCAATAAAATCATGAAGTTTCATTTGTCGCATTTTTCTTTCCTTAAGCTAATGTTGGTAGCAGAAGATTGCATCCAAAACACCTTGTTTTGTTTTTGCACTCCTTTCAAAATCTAGATCATTCACTACAATTTGATTTCAGTTATCATTATCAAACTTTTACTAAGGAAATCTGTAGAGAAATTTTTTGGGTTCTTTGTTTTCAGAATCACTATTTTCCAGTTCTACATTGATTCCTTGTTCTGCTAGTTCTTGAAGGTCGTCATTGATAAGACTCTCATCAAAAACCTGTGGTAACTCCTCAATATCCTGTTCATCTACATCTCCTAGTCCTACTGTATCAATTATGTTGAGTTTGATCAACCGAACGATACAGCGATAGGCTCTTCTCGTTGAGAATTCTTGGATACCTTCAGCCATAACTTCTTCCACACTTCATTCGTGCATTTATCAGTTAATTCTTGCCAAGCGAATCCGATATTGCCTATGGCATCCATGATGTTAATTTTTTCCAAAATTGCACCGAACAAACATAAATTTAAAAAAAGTACACCTTTTTGCCACCTTTTTCTGATTGGTTCGTATTCATAAATAATCGTATTATATACGAATCAATGAAATTCCACGATAATTTAAATCAGCATAAATTTTGAGCTTTTTTTTAGGCTTTGAGCAGACGGCATTATATTGAATCAGCATTAAGTGGGGTCTTTCTGTAAAAATAATAAGTGTTTGCAATATAAGAACAGATAATGATAATTGTAATGTTATCAAAAGTACTTGGAAAATACATGTGATTTGTTTTTAACAATTTTTTTTGTTATATTTCTTGAAAATATGCTTTAACACTAAGTTATAGTTTTTAAAATACACACCTGGTAATAATTTGCTGTATGCTATTATTTTATATTGTTTTATATTTTTGACTATGCACAAAATACTATAAAAATTTCAATTAAAACTGGCAGACAGTATTATACACTTTAAAAAAGATACCTACATTGAAGCATATTAAAATGTCTTCACATGTCTGTCTTGTCCAATCACCAAGAACCAAACAGTCTTGTTTCAGAGACAACCTTTTATTAAAGGCTATACCTCTACAAAATTATTCAAAAAGGTCATCTCTGAAGCAAGACTGGTTCCTGATGATTGGACAAGACAGATATGTGAAGACATTTTAGTATGCTTCAATGTAGATATTTTTTAAAGGAATAAAAATTATTTACTTATACAAACGTTTTTGTCCATTTGTAATGAATATCGTGAGGTATTCCATAAGGAAAACAGAACAAGCCATTGAATATATTTAAATCCAAAGATTCAAAGTAGTTTGAAGCTCACATGCATAAATGGTACCATGTTACAAAGGTAAATTAAAACTTGTAAATTCAAAATTTAATTGTAATAAATAATAATAAAAACAAAATGGAAATTCTAAGGGAGTTTGAAACATGCCCTCCATGATGTAGAGAATGTTTGTCTGTCTAAACAAACATACATTCTTGTAAATCTCAAGAGCTTCTAAATAATTTAAGTGTGGAGATGTTCAATGTAATAAATGAGCCTCTGCACTTCACTGTCCAAAAAGTATGCTGCACCATTTCTTACTGACATTGTATACATGCTCCATTACTCTTAAAACAAGGCTCCTGGCAATTGTTCTGATGTATACTAAAGAGTGGCTCGCTTGAGTGTCATATAATGTACAGCAGGTGTGTAGTTGTCATTCATGGGATTTTTATTGTTCCTACTTAAAGCAAAGGTCAGACTCCTCATCTAGACAATACTGACAATAGCCATTCTGGCAATTTCTTTATAAATGCTTAACATCACCTTATTATAAATAATAATCACAAATCCACCCTTCTGTTGAGAAGCATGGTCCTTGTTGTTAAATGTACGGCATATCAATCCATTAATGAGAGTAGCATGGTAACTTGTAATACAATAAAAAGGGCCATCCGGATGACGTGTAATACAATAGATGTGATAAACTTTAATTCCTTGTCCCTGTCATATGGTGAACAGCAGTATGTAAATGTTCTACTAACAAGAGAACGAAAGGCTATAATCTTGAAAGGGTTATGGGATTGGTATGGAATGTAGAGAGAACAATCAGCCTCCTTTGATAGACTCAAGTAGAGAGTCTGTTTTATTCCTTTATGGTATTTTGTGTGTAGTTTTATTTTAAACAACCAGTTTTTGTTGTAAATATATTTTTGACATTTTAATTTCAAATAAATTCTATTTTCATTAACACATTCATCACAGACAGAAACAATCCACATGATATTTGCAAGAGCAACATTTTATCCTACATTATTCTACAATGTGATGATGGAAAGATGCACATCTCGCCGTTGGTATGACCGCATCGACGAGACAGTCATCCTGGGTGCTCTTCCTTTTCGAAAATTCACTCCTCAGGTGAAAATAAATTTTCATTAAATATTTTTAGAATAAGAAAATCAAATTTATTTTATGTAATGTCATTTCAGCTCTTAGAGAATGAAAATGTAAAAGGAGTTGTTTCCATGAATGAAGATTTTGAATTGAAACTATGGGTAACAACTAAGCAGGTAAATTAAAATAAATAATTTTGTTATTTATGTAAGGATTGATTGTGGAATATAATATTAGGAAACCTTATTTGGCAAAGTTGGGGATAGGAACGTGAGACTACCAGCATTTTGTAGCCAAAAGTGTCCAGTCTCTGTTTAGTTGTGCTGTTGCATAGCAATCAAGTTTACACATAAATTAATTCTCTTATTCCACCAAATCAGTAATTAATGATTGAATTTTGATAGGCACACCACCTTTCAAACACTCAAGATGTATTACAGAATAAGGTAAAAGAACTGATAACACAAGACCATACTGTAATAAGGAGACAGTGAAGATGTTTAAGAACTTGAAGTTACAGGTCATTACTTCAGTTTAAGACAGTTTCATGGCACAAGTGCCTCATGGGTCATGCTGTGCAACCATTTGGTAAAATGTCTAAAAAGCAAAATGGTTCTTCTAAAAGGAGCCATTAAGATAAAATTTAAAATGCATTAATATGGTAAAATTATGAAAATAGCCAAAAAAGCTGAAAATAGGAACAAGTACTAAAATAAAATATTAAAAGCTTCATAAACACATTTGACAAAAACAATAAAAGTAGATGTACAAAATAAAGCTACAAGACAGTTAAAATAAAATTAATATAAAACAAAATCACAATAAAATCAGAGTCTAAAACATCAAATTTCTCTTAAAATACCAGTATCTGATAAAAAAAAACATGTAAAGGCATGAAGAATTAAAATCTTTGCTAATAAGGGCTAAAAGATTCACATTTGAATGATTAAAGTATAACAAATTCAATATGTTAAAATCTGCTTTTAACTGTCAAACATGCTTTACAGTTAAAAAGGTGTTGGCACAAAGTATTCAGGTGGATCCTTTCCCATCAAGAAGTAATGATGGATCCTATGCACAATCATGCCAGGACAATTTTCTTTTGTCTATTCCTGTGAAAGCTTGATTCTCACAATTCTATAACAGCTTGATCTTGTGTGGTTTATTACTAGTTTGGCTATCCCAAGAATGTTGCCATAATTTGTATAGTTTAGTCTTTATGACAGTTTTAAATTAGTATAGGATATTGCCTTAGGAAACTGGCTGAGTGGGATGCTATGTCAACTAGTTTTGGGACACATATGTATCCCGGAACTGGACTACCAAGTCAGATTTCGTTGAGTTCCAGGACATGTGTCCTGGAACTCAACGAAATCTGACTTGGTAGTCCAGTTCCGGGATACATATGTGTCCCAAAACTAGTTGACATAGCATCCCACTCAGCCAGTTTCCTAAGGCAATATCCTATACTAATTTAAAACTGTCATAAAGACTAAACTATACAAATTATGGCAACATTCTTGGGATAGCCAAACTAGTAATAAACCACACAAGATCAAGCTGTTATAGAATTGTGAGAATCAAGCTTTCACAGGAATAGACAAAAGAAAATTGTCCTGGCATGATTGTGCATAGGATCCATCATTACTTCTTGATGGGAAAGGATCCACCTGAATACTTTGTGCCAACACCTTTTTAACTGTAAAGCATGTTTGACAGTTAAAAGCAGATTTTAACATATTGAATTTGTTATACTTTAATCATTCAAATGTGAATCTTTTAGCCCTTATTAGCAAAGATTTTAATTCTTCATGCCTTTACATGTTTTTTTTTATCAGATACTGGTATTTTAAGAGAAATTTGATGTTTTAGACTCTGATTTTATTGTGATTTTGTTTTATATTAATTTTATTTTAACTGTCTTGTAGCTTTATTTTGTACATCTACTTTTATTGTTTTTGTCAAATGTGTTTATGAAGCTTTTAATATTTTATTTTAGTACTTGTTCCTATTTTCAGCTTTTTTGGCTATTTTCATAATTTTACCATATTAATGCATTTTAAATTTTATCTTAATGGCTCCTTTTAGAAGAACCATTTTGCTTTTTAGACATTTTACCAAATGGTTGCACAGCATGACCCATGAGGCACTTGTGCCATGAAACTGTCTTAAACTGAAGTAATGACCTGTAACTTCAAGTTCTTAAACATCTTCACTGTCTCCTTATTACAGTATGGTCTTGTGTTATCAGTTCTTTTACCTTATTCTGTAATACATCTTGAGTGTTTGAAAGGTGGTGTGCCTATCAAAATTCAATCATTAATTACTGATTTGGTGGAATAAGAGAATTAATTTATGTGTAAACTTGATTGCTATGCAACAGCACAACTAAACAGAGACTGGACACTTTTGGCTACAAAATGCTGGTAGTCTCACGTTCCTATCCCCAACTTTGCCAAATAAGGTTTCCTAATATTATATTCCACAATCAATCCTTACATAAATAACAAAATTATTTATTTTAATTTACCTGCTTAGTTGTTACCCATAGTTTCAATTCAAAATCTTCATTCATGGAAACAACTCCTTTTACATTTTCATTCTCTAAGAGCTGAAATGACATTACATAAAATAAATTTGATTTTCTTATTCTAAAAATATTTAATGAAAATTTATTTTCACCTGAGGAGTGAATTTTCGAAAAGGAAGAGCACCCAGGATGACTGTCTCGTCGATGCGGTCATACCAACGGCGAGATGTGCATCTTTCCATCATCACATTGTAGAATAATGTAGGATAAAATGTTGCTCTTGCAAATATCATGTGGATTGTTTCTGTCTGTGATGAATGTGTTAATGAAAATAGAATTTATTTGAAATTAAAATGTCAAAAATATATTTACAACAAAAACTGGTTGTTTAAAATAAAACTACACACAAAATACCATAAAGGAATAAAACAGACTCTCTACTTGAGTCTATCAAAGGAGGCTGATTGTTCTCTCTACATTCCATACCAATCCCATAACCCTTTCAAGATTATAGCCTTTCGTTCTCTTGTTAGTAGAACATTTACATACTGCTGTTCACCATATGACAGGGACAAGGAATTAAAGTTTATCACATCTATTGTATTACACGTCATCCGGATGGCCCTTTTTATTGTATTACAAGTTACCATGCTACTCTCATTAATGGATTGATATGCCGTACATTTAACAACAAGGACCATGCTTCTCAACAGAAGGGTGGATTTGTGATTATTATTTATAATAAGGTGATGTTAAGCATTTATAAAGAAATTGCCAGAATGGCTATTGTCAGTATTGTCTAGATGAGGAGTCTGACCTTTGCTTTAAGTAGGAACAATAAAAATCCCATGAATGACAACTACACACCTGCTGTACATTATATGACACTCAAGCGAGCCACTCTTTAGTATACATCAGAACAATTGCCAGGAGCCTTGTTTTAAGAGTAATGGAGCATGTATACAATGTCAGTAAGAAATGGTGCAGCATACTTTTTGGACAGTGAAGTGCAGAGGCTCATTTATTACATTGAACATCTCCACACTTAAATTATTTAGAAGCTCTTGAGATTTACAAGAATGTATGTTTGTTTAGACAGACAAACATTCTCTACATCATGGAGGGCATGTTTCAAACTCCCTTAGAATTTCCATTTTGTTTTTATTATTATTTATTACAATTAAATTTTGAATTTACAAGTTTTAATTTACCTTTGTAACATGGTACCATTTATGCATGTGAGCTTCAAACTACTTTGAATCTTTGGATTTAAATATATTCAATGGCTTGTTCTGTTTTCCTTATGGAATACCTCACGATATTCATTACAAATGGACAAAAACGTTTGTATAAGTAAATAATTTTTATTCCTTTAAAAAATATCTACATTGAAGCATACTAAAATGTCTTCACATATCTGTCTTGTCCAATCATCAGGAACCAGTCTTGCTTCAGAGATGACCTTTTTGAATAATTTTGTAGAGGTATAGCCTTTAATAAAAGGTTGTCTCTGAAACAAGACTGTTTGGTTCTTGGTGATTGGACAAGACAGACATGTGAAGACATTTTAATATGCTTCAATGTAGGTATCTTTTTTAAAGTGTATAATACTGTCTGCCAGTTTTAATTGAAATTTTTATAGTATTTTGTGCATAGTCAAAAATATAAAACAATATAAAATAATAGCATACAGCAAATTATTACCAGGTGTGTATTTTAAAAACTATAACTTAGTGTTAAAGCATATTTTCAAGAAATATAACAAAAAAAATTGTTAAAAACAAATCACATGTATTTTCCAAGTACTTTTGATAACATTACAATTATCATTATCTGTTCTTATATTGCAAACACTTATTATTTTTACAGAAAGACCCCACTTAATGCTGATTCAATATAATGCCGTCTGCTCAAAGCCTAAAAAAAAGCTCAAAATTTATGCTGATTTAAATTATCGTGGAATTTCATTGATTCGTATATAATACGATTATTTATGAATACGAACCAATCAGAAAAAGGTGGCAAAAAGGTGTACTTTTTTTAAATTTATGTTTGTTCGGTGCAATTTTGGAAAAAATTAACATCATGGATGCCATAGGCAATATNTGCCCACGACGATAAATTAGACAGAATTAGATAACCTAATAAATAGGGTATAACAATTTGCAGGGCTTATCACACCAAGGCCTGTGTGATAAGCCCTGCAAATTGTTATACCCTATTTATTAGGTTATCTAATTCTGTCTAATTTATCGTCGTGGGCAAAAAGCGTTGTTTATTATTATCACATAACTATAATTTGCAGTCAGTCAGAGAAATCAAGGAGTACCCAGAAGAATTAATGTCAAAATTAAAAAAGACATAGACAGGAATTCTTTAATTTTAACATTTCAGTTATATATTTTTAACATATAATGGGGAACTGTAAAAACAAAAAATTTTTAAGTTTGCAAAAAAGATATTTATAGCCTAACTTAGGTTAATGTACTGTACAGTAAGCATAACAAGAATAATATAAACGGGTATGGGTACTTAAGAAATTTTTCATACAAATAATTTTATACACAGCATGATGTAACTAGTAGCAGTGAATTCTGAATAGCTTTTGGTGGCATTTTGCATGAACAGAATAATAAAGTGTATTTG